GCTAAATAAAGCAGTTTTAGTGTATAGATCATTCCCCTGCAACTTCACTGCTCAATTCACTGTCATTTAGGAGTTAAATCACTTTGTTTCTGTTTATGCAGCCCTAGACACACCTCCCCTGGCTATGATTGACAGAGCCTGCATGGAAAAAAAAACAACTGGTTTCACTTTCAAACAGATGTAATTTACCTTAAATAATTGAATCTCAATCTCTAAATTGAACTTTAATCACATACAGGAGGCTCTGGCAGGGTCTAGCAAGCTATTAACATAGCAGGGGATAAGAAAATCTTAATTAAACAGAACTTGCAATAACGAAAGCCTAAAAAGGGCTCTATTTACAGGAAGTGTTTATGCAAGGCTGTGCAAGTCACATGCAGGGAGGTGTGACTAGGGTTCATAAACAAAGGGATTTAACTCCTAAATGGCAGAGGATTGAGCAGTGAGGCTGCAGGGGCATGTTCTATACACCAAAACTGCTTCATTAAGCTAAAGTTGTTCAGGTGACTATAGAGTCCCTTTAACATTTTCTTAAATTTATGGACTCCCCTAAAAAACCTTTTTGGGGTTTCTCCACTAAAAATGGAGCTTTATCAGAGTCCTGCTTTAAAATGTACCAGTGTTTATTTGTAATATGTTTTAGCTGTTTATAATCCTTATTATAATTAAAAATCATTGAAGCCGTTTCGTTCTCTTTATTTTTACTTTTAAGTTCTGTTTTATACGTAAGAAGGTTGTCCCTTTCTAGTTGTCTAACACTCTGAATTTCTTGGTTTAAGTGCTCTAGTTTATAGCTTCTATCTAAAAATAGTTTTTTTAAAGAAGTTCCGTCTGGATATCGAACTGATCCACATCTGTATAATTCCTTTTTAATCTAAGGAACTGTCCCTTAGGGATATCATCCAGTCAAGGTCGAAAGTGACAGCTATTTTTATGATTGTAGCTATTCAAAACTACGTTTTTGAATAAAGTGCGTGTTTCAATTTGATCACTTTCGATATAGATCTCCAAATCCAAGAAATTAATTCTCTGTTTATCTATTTCATTAGTTAAGGGAATAGTCCATAGATTATTATTTTAAAAAGATAAAAATTCTGGGGGCGGGGTCTGCCTCTCAAGATGACTGGATCCGTTTGCTAGTAGCATCTGCTAACTTGAGCTTTCAAACTGATTAAACTACCCAAGTTAAAACTACACGCGGTCCAAGGCATGCAGCAGACTACTATGCTATCTTAGACTTTGTTTACAGCCCTGAAAAGCACTGCTCTGGAGCGGTAAATTCACCTACTGAGCCTGTGGACCCCACGGCTGGGAGAGGCGGCCAATCTCCTACCTGGGACAGTGCAGCTCACAGCAACTGTCCTGTTGCCCTGTAACCGGTCCCCTCTGGATCAGCGGGGGATATCCCGGTCCCCGCCGGGGAAGCTTACTTCTGGTGAAAATCGACCCGACTTAAACCAATTTTGAGACCACATGTTGAGCACAAGATGGCCGCTAAGCAGAAGCCTATCTCAACTGTCAAAAGTAAAGACAAATAAGTCAATGGGACCTGATGGAATACACCCAAAGCTATTAAAAGAGCTTAGTGGTGTACTAGCAAAACCATTAACAGATTTATTTAACCAATCATTGTTAACAGGTGTAGTCCCAGAAGATTGGAAGTTAGCGAATGTTGTGCCCATTTACAAGAAAGGTAATAGGGAGGAGTCGGGCAACTATAGGCCAGTAAGCCTTACTTCAGTAGTGGGGAAAGTGATGGAAACCATGTTAAAGGATAGGATTGATGAGCATCTAAAAACACATGGATTTCAAGATCAGAGACAACATGGGTTTACTTCAGGGAGATCATGCCAAACTAATCTTATTGATTTTTTTGATTGGGTAACTAAAATTATAGATCAGGGTGGTGCAGTAGACATTGCTTACCTAGATTTCAGTAAGGCTTTTGACACTGTTGCACATAGAAGGCTTATCAATAAACTGCAATCTTTAAGTTTGGATTCCAATATTGTTGAATGGGTAAGGCAGTGGCTGAGTGACAGGCAACAGAGGGTTGTAGTTAATGGAATATATTCAAGCTTGGACTTGTCACCAGTGGGGTACCTCAGGGATCTGTACTTGGACCCATTCTCTTTAATATTTTTATTAGTGATATTGCAGAAGGTCTTGATGGTAAGGTATGTCTTTTTGCTGATGATACTAAGATATGTAACAGGGTTGATGTTCCAGGAGGGATAAGCCAAATGACAAATGATTTAGGTAAACTAGAAAAATGGTCAGAATTGTGGCAACTGACATTTAATGTGGATAAGTGCAAGATAATGCATCTTGGACGTAAAAACCCAAGGGCAGAGTACAGAATATTTGATAGAGTCCTAACCTCAACATATGAGGAAAGGGATTTAGGGGTGATTATTTCTGATGACTTAAAGGTAGGCAGACAATGTAATAGAGCAGCAGGAAATGCTAGCAGAATGCTTGGTTGTATAGGGAGAGGTATTAGCAGTAGAAAGAGGGAAGTGCTCATGCCATTGTACAGAACACTGGTGAGACCTCACTTGGAGTATTGTACACAGTATTGGAGACCGTATCTTCAGAAGGATATTGATACCTTAGAGAGGGTTCAGAGAAGGGCTACTAAACTGGTTCATGGATTGCGGGATAAAACTTACCAGGAAAGGTTAAAGGATCTTAACATGTATAGCTTGGAGGAAAGACGAGACAGGGGGGATATGATAGAAACATTTAAATATATAAAGGGAATCAACACAGTAAAGGAGGAGACTATATTTAAAAGAAGAAAAACTACCACAACAAGAGGACATAGTCTTAAATTAGAGGGACAAAGGTTTAAAAATAATATCAGGAAGTATTACTTTACTGAGAGGGTAGTGGATGCATGGAATAGCCTTCCAGCTGAAGTGGTAGAGGTTAACACAGTAAAGGAGTTTAAGCATGCATGGGATAGGCATAAGGCTATCCTAACCATAAGATAAGGCTAGGGACTAATGAAAGTTTTTAGAAAATTGGGCAGACTAGATGGGCCGAATGGTTCTTATCTGCCGTCACATTCTATGTTTCTATGTTTTTACCTCCCTAGTGCAGAAAGCCAGAGTTGGGTGAGACACTTCAAGGCAAAGTTTGACAAGCTTTGCCAGGAGTTCTGTCACCGTGTAAGATTCCACCAACATCCACCCATTTCCACTTGGGTTTTGTTTCACTGGCACTGTTAGTTAATAACTTCATTTTTTTTTCACCAAGATGTGAATTGTCAGGAATTTGAAGTGAATTTGAACTTTGAAGTCAAAATAGCTGAACATTGTTGATTTTCTAATTTAGCCATCATGACCTTAACATTTAAAGTAATTTTGAATTCATGACACTTTAACCCGGTGTGTGAGGAAGCAGTTCGTATCATCAGATTTCATGCAGCCCCTGTGCAACTAGAAACGGCAAAGAAACTTAAGCACAAATTTTATTATTTGCCAGCTCTCCAATTGGTTAAGCTTTAGTACCCAAACTTGTAAGGTTTACTTTGACTTCCTGATAATTCACACTATAGAATAGCATCTTCTGAGCAAAGCCTGCATCACCTCCCACCTTTAGGAGGTATTAATTCTGACTTGGCCTAGTACCACTGACAGCTGTGCTGCCAACCCCACTCTGGTTTGCCCATGCGCACAACACATCTAACAAAGTATTTTATGGGCACTTGATCTCTGATGTCTCCATAAGTAGGATCCCGAGGACCAATCCTGGTAAGGCGGGCCAGAACCCAGAATCTGGGCCAGGTTGAAAGTATGCCACCTTATGTTCTTGCATTTATAGCTTGTCTTTCTAAAATTACACATAGATGGTCCCCCTATTGTACAGCACTACAGAATATGTTGGCTCATTATAGATAATAAAAATAACTAACATTTTCAACTGTTCACTTATTTCCTTCTAACCACAGACTGCACCGTAAATGAATGTTACCCCTCATCAGTGACAGACAGCAGTACACACTTAGAGAGCTCTCACTGTTTTAGTAAGTTTGTCAGTCCCTGGCTCTCACTCAGGGAGGGGACACTCAGGATGACACAGATGGCAGTGTACACTCAGTGAGCACACTGTGTCAGTAAGTTTGTCAGGCTCTTACTCAGGGAGGGGACACTCAGGCTGACACAGGTGACAGTGTACACTCAGTGTCAATAAGTTTGTCTGGCTCTCACTCAGGGAAGGGACACTCAGGCTGACACAGATGGCAGTGTACACTCAGTGAGCACACTGTCAGTAAGTTTGTCTGGCTCTCACTCAGGGAAGGGACACTCAGGCTGACACAGATGGCAGTGTACACTCAGTGAGCACACTGTCAGTAAGTTTGTCTGGCTCTCACTCAGGGAAGGGACACTCAGGCTGACACAGATGGCAGTGTACACTCAGTGAGCACACTGTCAGTAAGTTTGTCTGGCTCTCACTCAGGGAAGGGACACTCAGGCTGACACAGATGGCAGTGTACACTCAGTGAGCACACTGTCAGTAAGTTTGTCTGGCTCTCACTCAGGGAAGGGACACTCA